GTGCAGCCCTGAAGTCTTGGGAGGAGAGACTGTCGAAGATGCGACAAAAGTTTGGACTTTGGAGCCTCAGAGACCTTACCATCGAAGGGAAGACACTGGTACTCCGCAGCGAGATTCTCCCTGTGTTGCAGTACCTCGCCCAGGCCTGGCCCCCACGGGTCAACACCTGTAAGGCCATCACCAGGGCGGTGTTTCACTTCATCTGGGGCTGCAAGATGGACAGAGTGAAGCGGGTAGTCATGTTCAAGGAACCCCTCAAGGGCGGCAAGGGCGTGCCCGACATCGCCACCCAACTGAGGGTGTTCTTTGCCTGCAACTGCATCTGCAGAACTTTGCCCAAAAGGATTATGGACTCTGGCGGGAACGCAATGTCACACTTCTTCCTGTTGCCTCTCTGGAGGTCCCTCGGATGGGACAATTGGGACAGTTCCATCCCCTACAACTGGGACACTCCTTGGTACTACCTGGATACCTTCAAGTTTATCAAGGAGCAGGGGCTACAGGGAGTCAAGCCTGACTTGTGGAAGCCAAAGATCATTTACAAGCTCATCAGAGCAAGCGACATTTTGGAGTCGGTTCCAGGCCTGCCTTCAGACACCTGCAAGGTGGTCTGGAGGAATGTTTCTTCAAACATCCTCACCAACAGGCACAAGGACCTGGCATGGATGGCAATCCAAGGGGGGTTGCCTCTCAGGACATTTATGCATGCCAGGAACCTGAGCAGATACAGACACTGCCCCTTCTGCATCATCCACGAGGAAACAGCTCACCACGTTTTCTAGGAGTGCTCTTTTGCTCAGGACCTGTTGAGGACCCTGGAACCTGAACTCAAGGATTTTGTAGCACAGACAGCCATCACACACTTTGGGGTGTTGAATGGACTTTTCTGTGGAACTTTTTCTCTGGAGGACATTGACAGCGCCTGGCGGGTGTTGGGTTGTTTTAAGAACGCTTTATGGTGCGCCAGGAAGCGTCTCATCCACCAGCGGGAGAGGATGTCCACTGAGGACTGCCACAGACTGATCCTCAGTCTGCTCAGAGACTATACCTTGATGGACTTTAAGGAGGAAGAGGACGTCTGAAGATCTCCCCTTCCCCCTACTCCCCCTTGCGTGTCTTTGTCCCTTCAATAAAGCTTCGGGCCTGTGACCCCTTCCCCCCCCCCCCCCCCTCACACCCGATGCTTATTGTATATTGTAACTAATCGTATCTTGCATGACTTTGTAATGGTAGGAAATGTTCTTTGTCTTAGGATGCTATGGTCTCGGGGTAAGCGGCGTTATGCATGACGTGTTGGTCTGGGGATTCGTCCGCCACGCACATCACGTCAGGCATCATACCGCTGAGTGAATGTATTATTGAATGTATTTATCGTATGCCTGGAACTATATTGCAATGTGGTGCGCTGCGTCGCAGTATAGGGTGAGATGTACCCCGATACCGAGTATCATGTTTTTTTATACTTCTGTAATAAAGTATCTTTTTCAATCAAAAAAAAAAAAAACTAGTATCACATGTAGCTTTTGTCTGTGCAGGAATCTGTGACGTGTAAAAAGTAATTGAAGTGCGCATGAAAACTGATGTCTATGCAAGTGAAATCTGCATGTCAGTTTCCATCAGTTGTTCCGCATACTGTATATGGTGTGAAAGAGGCCTTAATAGAATGCAAAATCACGAGGAACCCTAGTTTTGAACAGTTTTTATTGGATTGTAGGTAATCAATATTTGCACTGGATGATGATATCACCCTCTCTTTGATGTCACATAAGAAAGTCCCCTCTTCACATCAGTGCCCCCATTACAACAGAATCACCCCTTTTCACATCAGAGCCCCCCATTACATCAAAGTCAGCTCATGTCACATTAGTCTCTTTATTACATCATCATCCCCTTTTATTATCCTCTACACACCAGAGTCCCTCCTTTTTTTCTTATCAGAGAAGGGGGTTCTCATCAGAGTGTCCTCTACACACCAGAGTCCCTCCTTTTTTATTAGAGCTGCCCCTTATCATCAGTGTCCTCTACACACCAGAGTCCCTCCTTTTTTTAGAGTCTCATATTCACATCAGAGTCCACCTTCATATCAGAGTCCCCCATCACATCAACATCCTCATTCCCCCCTTCACAAATAGTCCTATCTTCAAATCTCTACTGCAGATGTGGCATCATGGCAGGGGGCAGGGGGTTGGAAAATCTGCAGATGTTTAGAACCTCTGTCCTCTTCTGGATGCCTACCCTGGATCAATATCAATGCCATTGTGCAAGCAGGCCTGCTGCCAGCCAGTAGCAACAAATGACATAGCGTGTGCAGTCTGCAGCTTGAAAATGAGTGATGCAGTGCTGCAGATAGTGGCAGGGCACTTCACCATCATCACTGGTCCTGGGGCGGCACAAATGAAAACTGGGTAGGCGCACAGCCTATCCCCATGCACCACCTACATTCAGCCCTGTGTTGGAGAAAATCTGGCAACTAGCATTTTTCAGGAGGTCAAAATGGCATATCACCATTGTTACATCAAATGCATGTTTCCTTTAAATCCTCTACTATTTATGTTAACAAAAGAGGGGAAATTTTATTTCAAAGAAAGAAAAGCTAAACAAAAAAATATAAACAAGTGTGGATGGACAAACCCCCCACTGTGGCTATTTTTGTCGCCAGTTAGAGTCAGCGGATGCCAGAATACTACTGTTTACTAAAACTGGAGAGTACAAAATCTGGTGCAAGTCTGCATATAAACCAATCAGCTTCAACATTTTATTGCCAAAGCTTAATTGAACAAGCTGAAGTTAGAAGCTGATTGGCTACCATGCACAGTTGCACCAGTTTCTGAGTGCTCCAGTTTTAGTAAATCTACCCCTGTGAGTACAGCCAAACAGTGACTGAAGCTGATTGGGATAGAAGGTTGTCAGGCTGACCAGGGATACCTATTTTTCAAAATGTGGGTGGTTCATTAGAAAATGCCTGAAATTCAGTCAATGGCCACCTTGACAAGGGTTCTACCTCTTCCCCACTGTATCCAAACCAAAAGAATTGAAAACCATTGCTGGAGTTGTTCTTTGGGTCCATTTTGCACACGGGAGACTCTGCTCCAATCAGCTCACAGATCCCCTTCCATTAGGAACAGAGTGGGATGGATGACACATCCATTTCCACTCGGATTATGCAGAGAGGACAGTCTGCTCTATAGGCAGATGGGTGCAAAACTGGATAATTATTATCCAGTCAACCAAAATGGATGAACATAGTCTTTTTTTTTTTTTTTTTTTAGCAGACCTGATTGGACCCAGAGGAAGGCGAGTGTAAACAGACACAAGTCCGTTTACTCCCAGTTAACTATAGGGGTGAATTGACCTTCCAATCAGGTACGCCAAAAACACTGGCAGGTGGATCTGAATGGAATGGCTTGAAAGGGGCCTTAATCTTAGTGTTTTTTTTCTTTTTTATGATAATAGAAAAAAAAAAAAAGTATCTTCAGGCTAAAATGTGTAATTATCTCCTGTAACAAGAGACATACTATAGCACACTAATGAATGACACTGACAGCAGTAGCAACAGAGTGAATTTCCTTCCTCTAGGAAGACTTATTTAAATACTTAACACTACTTGCAGGTCATTTCGAGTGAATAAGCTTAAGCTTTAAAACCACTTAGCTTGATTAAGTTGGCCAGAAAGATAATTGGGATAATATTTGCAGGAGCAACTTATAATATGTGAACCTTGTAGAATAAAGAATGTGTGTTTGAATTGATATCTAGGCAAGTCATTAGTCTTTTAACATGACAACTGAATTACCCTGTGAAGAGAAAGCTATACTTACCTGTTTGGGGAGCCAATTGCTGTGTAGCAATGTTCCTGGCACTAAACCTATTCCACACTTATGGATGTGCAGAATGTGTCCACTGCTGTGGTTTGTCTTATTGACCCCTTCTTCGCTCTTGTGACCAGAGGTAGAGAGGAAGGAAGAAGCAGTGACCAGTGGGGTGACTGTGACATGCTTTTTTGACCAGCAATTGCTCCATCAGACAGGTAAGTATAATGCTCATGTCTTCACCACTCAATTTTGTTATTCAACTCCTCATCACCATCCTGATGTAATATTGGGCCTGCCTTAATTGAGAGTATAACTATTTCATGGTTTTACCTCCTTCCCAACCCAACACAATGGCTGGAGTAGGTTGTACACATTCTATGGCCACAATATTTTAAGAAATCATTTGACAAACTCTCCCTAGCATCTCTAATGGTGGCCATCTTGAGTAAGGGCAGATATTCATGTAGCATTTACTTCCTAGAATCCATCCACCCATGGGTCAGGCATGCTTAACTACAAAAATCCTTCCTCCAAATGCCCATTAAGACTTCTGAGACATATTACATGTTGGCCTAAGCCAAAATAACAGGAGGCAGCCTTCAGAGGTCTCAAAGTGAGGGAAATCCCCCTTTAGACAATAGTCTGCTGAACAAGCATCTGCATTGGAAGGTTTTGGAATGTTTAGTCTTGGTGACAACTAAAGGTCAAAAAAAAAAAAAAAAAAAAAAAAATTAATCCCCACACGCACACATTTAATTAAATTAACCAACCATTAAATTTACCAACACCTATCTAGAGTGAAGGCCTCCCATTTATTTCAAACCAGATAGGCTTTTGTTAAACCTGAATTATATTGTGCAAACACAAGACTGGACTACTCATGCATATGGTTTAGGATATCATTTCATAACTTATTCTGAAGCAACTATGACAAGTCACGTATAGTAAAATAAAATATTTATTTAAAAAGGTAACATTTGTATGTTTAATAAAAAAAGACATTAGGGATAGACTTTGACCACTATGTGGCTCTTCTCCAGCATATATATACTGCTGCACAGCAGCAAATACAGTCATTAGTCCACAAGGTTGCTACACATTCATATATATATACAGGCATCCTGTCACGTCTTCAAGACACACAATGCAACCCCACACTTCAGCAGTCTATGCATGAACAAGAAGTCCTTATGATGCATGGCCCCTATGAGCCACACTTCTCCCCCTCACTTCCTGGGGGTTGGTCTTCTCCAGTAGCACCTCTTCTTTTTTTTGTGGCTGTGAAGGAGCTGGCAGAGATGCGGAATGCTTGATTTCATCAAAGTCTGTGTCCTCTCTCCTTGTGAATGGACTGCACACGGTCTCCACCAATCCAATCACTACGCCAAAAAAGGCCAGCACGCTGCCCAACACATACATTTTCACCATCTTCTTGTTGGGCTTCTGGCTCAGTATCTCTTTGGCAAATGGGATCAACTCATTCATTGTTTCCATGGTGAGAGATTATACAGATTGATCCAATCTCCTACCTGTAGACAGAAAATAAAAGGCAAAGCAACATTAATTTTCAATTTTCCAGCACAGCACTGGTTACATTGAACTAGAATCTACACACAAATGCTACAATGTCTAACAAATGGCCAAAAAAAATAGTAAGCCTTTTCTTAATAATTTTACAAATTTTATACATACTTCAGTTTATTCTATACTGGTAGCTATTTACAGAATACTTTATATACTGTAGATTCACATAAGTCCCTGCCCTCAATGATAGTACAATCTAGAGTCTATTTCACATGCATTTATGCTGTACATAGTTGGACAGGGGCCAATAAAACTACCAGCACATCTTTGGAACGTAGGAGGAAAAACCAGAGCAATCCGGAAAAAACTTGCATGTGCAGGGAAAACATGCAAACTCCATGCAGTATCCTGACTGGAACATGAACAAACTATCCCAGTGCTGCAAGGAAAAAGTACTACCCACTAAGATGGCCTTAATAACCTTCTGGTCTCAGGGAGCCCTTGCCAATAATCACTATATCTACAGCTCATGGTGCCATAATGTGATGAAAGAATGTTCCTTACATTTGTAGCCATTGGGAAGAACCCCCTCCCTCCCCCCTTCTCATACAGATAGCTAAAAAGATTAATGGTGTCAGTGGTTACTTATCAAAGATGTAGAAATTGCTCAAGGAATCCCCAGAAACCTCAAGGTGGTTCCACATAACCCTGGTTTAGAAAAGCAGCACTGATGGTGTCCATACACAGAACAATTTTCAATATTGATTTATTACAGGTGCTTATACAGTGCCAGTTTATGAAGCACTTTACTATATTATATATATTTATTAGATTTTACATTCACATCAGTCCCTGCCCATGAGGAGCTTACAATGTGAGGTCCCTAACTCACATTCATCTAAAACACATAATAGGGACAAATTTAGACAGGAGCCAATCCAAGTAGCCTACCAGCACATGTTTATGATCATAGTCAGATTTGCCATACAGTAAAATAAAAAATATGTATTTATCAGAAAATCAAAAAAGATGCTCCAAGAACCAGGGCCCTCCTAACTTGTATTGATCTGTATTGTCTCCCTTTATACTGTAAAGCGCTGAGCAAACTGTTATAGCTATATAAATCCTGTATAATAATAACTTATAATATCAGCTTCTAACATCAGTTTGTTCAATTAAGCTTTGACAATAAATCCTGGAAGCTGATTGGTTTCTATGCAGAGCTGCACTGGATTTTGCATTCCAGTTTTAGTATATATATATATATATATATATATATATATATATATTATACACACATATTATATCTATATATTTTTTTCCAATAACTCATAGCTTCAATTGCATTGTCTGCTCAAAAAAAAAAAAGAAAAGATAATTGTTCAATCTGATCATTCAGTGTATGGCCACCATTGGACATGGACAGCCAATATATTTCTATATCATACACCTACAAGTACAGCACAGATCCAATTTATTCTCATCATGTACTAACAAATAATCAAATACTTCATTTAAATTCCTGATTGGACTGGCTGCACACACATCTAATTCATTACTAACGATAGGCAAAGATGGATTATTGGATATGATAGATTTTCTCCAAGAAAATATGAATCATGTAAAAAAAAATAGTAATAAATGAATCATACCTGCTTCTATAGATCGCTTTGCCTGTGACAGTATTTCTTGCGATCACAGATCCTGAAGCTGTAAAGCATCTGCCTGCATGTTGAGTCTCTGAGCCTTTTAACTGTCTGGCCCCGCCCCCGTGGTGTCGGCCCCGCCCCCGGAGTGTGGCCATGTGCTGATCACGCAGTCTTGGCGTCTTTGTGCCCCTCCTTGTAGCCAGGTCTACGTGTTGCCCGGACTAGCTGGCTGTGTGCAGGGCTCGTATTCCCACCAGCGTGATCAGTGCATGCACACAGCACTGGCCTATTATCCTGGAATCTGTCAGTGGGGGTAGCTGTGCTCTCCCATTGTAGCCATGCCTTACAGTCTCCTAGGCACGTAGTAAACGTGCAGGATTCTCCTTGTGACCTCAGCTACAGGAAAACCTCAGATGGACAGTGATGTGGTCATGGCTGGGTGACCTGTCCCTCTATTATTAGGTATTGACAATAACACTGGATGGCCAGAGGCAGCATAAAACAGCGTAGCATTTCATCTGATGACAGGAGAAAAATACAATCTGCTTTGGTTGTGTTTTCTGTCATTTGTATTTTTATAATAGTACTACTTCCATTTTATTATTCTAACAAGCATTTATGTTCAGGATTATTAAAATTAAGTCTGGGTTCACACTGATGCGGTGCAGAATTAGCACTGATTTCTGTGAAAATTCCGCACCACATCATAATCGCATCATATGAACCGCTGCGGGTGTGTATATTAACACCCTGAAATCGGTTCGTAAAACGCAGTGCGATCTGCAGAATTGGATTGCATGAGTGTGAATACCCATGCGATCCGATTCTAGTGTGGACAAAAAAAGGGTCCTGCGCTATTTTGGTGCTGATATGGTGCAATCTGAGCCATACAAAGTGTTGCATAGATTTTACATGTGATTTGCACAGGAGTGCGATATGTCATGTGATGCACCACAGAAGTGTGAACCCAGGCTAAAAGTCATTTTTTTTCATAAAACAATTATTATTATTATACAGGATTTATAAAGCGCCAACAGTTTGCGCAGCTCTTTACAAAATGAAGGTAGACATTACAGTTACAATACAATTTGGTACAAGAGGAAACAGAGGGCCCTGCTCATTAGAGCTTACACTGTATTATCATTTATATATATTTTCTGTATAAGGGGTCATTCACACAGGCAGTAAAAAAACCCCAGTGCGTTTAGTTTTGTGCACATCAAAACGCAGTACTATAGTAGTCAGTGAGCCCATACACACAACTGTGCCTATCTGTAAAAATGAGCAAGGGAGAATGTCACCAGCACACCGAGGATCACCGATATGGGTCCAAACGTTTTAATGAACGATCGCATAGTTACAGCAAGGCAACATTTCGGAGTCTTGAAGGACCCCTTCATCAGGCATATGACATCCTGCAAGACTCCGAAACGTTGCCTTGCTGTAACTATGTGATTGTTCATTAAAACGTTTGGACCCATATCGGTGATCCTCAGTGTGCTGGTGACATTCCCCTTGCTGATTCTGTTCGGTTCCAGCCGACAGTCGCTGTAAGACCCACTTATACACACACAGCCATATCTGTAAAAATGGGTGCTGCATTTAGCTGCACAGAAAAAAAGAGGACAACTCGATACCCAGGGGCACACATGCAGATTTTATGCATGTCAAGGAATGGAAGATTGTGGGGCACAGAAGGGGTTAACTACAGCTCAACAAAAAGTACAAAAAGAATTCATAAAGGTCCATAAAAAACAAAGAGCACCAGTTGCAGCTGGGCAGCTCTGTGTGTGGAAAATATGGGAAAGAGGGAAATGGCCACCATCCTAAGTGCAGATGGAAAAGTAACCTTATTCAACAATGGGGATAAACACTCACATGAAAAGGGGGCACCGCCACTCATTTCTGTCCTGAAGGACCCGTCGATGTACTCTTTGCAGCTGTAGATGGGATGAGTAGAGCCAGGACGCCATGTAGACAGCGCTCCAAGCTGGCCCAGGAGACTTCCGGTTGACTACACAGTGTACTGGATCAATCTACACTTGCAAGGAGTACATCGGCAAGTTCTACAGGACCGGGGTGAGTGATGGTGCCCCCCTTTTCTTGTGATGATTGACATTTCCTACTATATCTTCTGCATGTTTAACACCATTGTTGAATTACTTTTAATACTGCACTTCCCCTCTTAGATTTTATGCGAATGCACATAAACATGTACGCGAATAAACGTGCATCCATTCATTTGAATGAAAGAAGCATTGCACATGTTGTGATATGGGGTTGGCTAGCTCAGGTGGTAGATGCATTTTTAGTAAAGTCCATGCCAGTCCGAACTGCGTTTTAGCCCTGGTTCACAAAGAAGCAATTCTTGATGTGTTCTAGAACACGTGGAATTGCATGACAAGTGAAAGAACGTTTCTATGGAGGCCATTCACATATATGCAGTGTGAATCCCGTGCAATTTTTAAAAGGGTCCTGTGCGTGTTTAATGTAGTGCTATTTGTAGCTCCTTAGATTTGAATAGAAACTGAATCTGTGGATCTAGGAGATTCCAGTATGACATCGCACTGGAGTTGCTCCTGAAATTGCACTGTGAAACGGATTTAACTTGCATCGCATCAGTGTGAACCTAGGCATAAAGGATGGTCAGCCCACTTTTATTTAAAAGTAAAGCAAAGTCTTTACAAGGTTGCCCACGCATGGGGTTCATCTTCACAAAGCAACAACAGGTAACACAGAATGCCAGCTCACCTGGCTAAGCTTCAGTAATTCCCCTGCTATTAGCATTGGTCTATCAGACCATGGGTTCCTTTGGCTCCCTCAGCCTCTTGTCATTGCACATTACTGTACAGGCCCACTCCTGGCCCCAAAACAAGGTCTCCAAGCACCCCAGGTTCTCTAACACTTCTCAGGATCACAGGACTCCCTCCAGCCCCATCTGTGGACTCTCTAGTAACCACAGCTTTCTCAGTCTCTCCAGACCCACGTAGCTGTCCTGACTCTCCCAGTCCTGTGGGCAAGACATCCTCCTAACATAGGGTCTTGTCTTCCGAGAAGTACACCCCCCACCCTCACTTCTGGCTGGAGCACAGCACTATCTTCACACAAAGTCTGTGTCTTTGAATGGCAGCAATTGCTCTAAGCTTATAATGACCCTACACACCTGTGTACTCATACAGGCTGCAGGTGCCCAGTAAAGTCTGGGCACAGGATTGAAGGTTCCTTTCCTCCCAAGACATTTTAGAACCTTCAAACTCCAGGACTACCAAAACTGGAGAAAACTTAGAACACAGTTTTATCCGCTCACAATAAACACTTTGG